TAGAGGTGTTATACTTACAGAGTTGTTCTACTTATAGAGGTGTTCTACTTACAGAGGTGTTCTACTTATAAAGGTGTTCTACTTACAGAGGTGTTTTACTTGTAAAGGTGTTCTACTTACAGATGTGTTCTACTTATAAAGGTGTTCTACTAACAGAGGTGTTCTACTTATAGAGGTGTTCTACTTATAGAGGTGTTCTACTTACAGAGTTGTTCTACTTATAGAGGTGTTCTACTTACAGAGGTGTTCTACTTATAAAGGTGTTCTACTTACAGAGGTGTTCTACTTATAAAGGTGTTCTACGTACAGAGTTGTTCTACTTATAGAGGTGTTCTACTTACAGAGTTGTTCTACTTATAGAGGTGTTCTACTTACAGAAGTGTTCTACTTATAAAGGTGTTCTACTTACAGAGATGTTCTACTTACAGAGTTGTTCTACTTACAGAGTTGTTCTACTTATAGAGGTGTTCTACTTATAAAGGTGTTCTACTTACAGAGTTGTTCTACTTACAGAGTTGTTCCACTTATAGAGGTGTTCTACTTACAGAGGTGTTATACTTATAAAGGTGTTCTACTTACAGAGATGTTCTACTTACAGAGTTGTTCTACTTACAGAGTTGTTCTACTTACAGAGTTGTTCTACTCTCTGAGGTATTCTACTTATAGAAGTGTTCCACTTCTAGAGGTGTTTAACTTACAAAGGTGTTCTTCTTACAGAGTTGTTCTACTTACAGAGGTGTTCTACTTATAAAGGTGTTCTACTTACAGAGTTGTTCTACTTATAGAGGTGTTCTACTTACAGAGGTGTTCTACTTATAAAGGTGTTCTACTTACATAGTTGTTCCACTTATAGAGGTGTTCTACTTACAGAGGTGTTCTACTTATAAAGGTGTTCTACTTACAGAGTTGTTCTACTTACAGAGGTGTTCTACTTATAAAGGTGTTCTACTTACAGAGGTGTTCTACTTATAAAGGTGTTCTACTTATAGAGGTGTTCTACTTACAGAGGTGTTCTACTTACAGAGTTGTTCTACTTATAGAGGTGTTCTACTTACAGAGTTGTTCTCCTCTCTGAGGTATTCTACTTATAGAGGTGTTCCACTTCTAGAGGTGTTCAACTTACAAAGGTGTTCCACTAACAGAGATGTTCTACTTACAGAGGTGCTATACTTGAACAAAGGTGTTCCACTTAAAGAGGTGTTCTGCTTATAGATGTGTCCTACTTATAGATGTGTTCTTCTTATAGAGGTGTTCTACTTACAGAGTTGTTCTACTTAGAGGGGTGTTCTTGTTCTACTTACGGAGGCCTTAATTAAAATTTTATATCATTAAGTCAATTTACTGTTGTATGCCTCAAAATCATTCAAGACTTTAAGGGATATATGGGGCATCAGTACTCCAAACATCTTAAAACATCACTGTATCCCCCAAAGGCATGCTTCACATGAGTTTAATAGCCCCTACTACAAATGATAGAGTTTTGCACTGATAATGCACTAATGAGTTTCTGACATCATAGCACTTTAACATATCAATAATGAAATCGATATACATGGTTAACATATGCAACAATATGATGTCCAAAGAAATAGGCCAACATGCATGAATTCTAGGATAATCTCTCAAAGTACATGCAAAACATTTCAAAAATACCAATACTGTATCTTAAAATACTCTCAAGAAACTATCCATTTTCAAAGCAACTCTTCAAATTAGAAGATCCAGTATCATAATACCATACTAAGATGCATGTAATTCCTAGCCAAGCTACCAAATACAAGTACTTTTTCAAGATAATGTGGTATTTCACTTACAAATGGCCTATAAGTCTAATTTCTGCTGCATTGGTAATTCTAAGTCAATTAACTTTCAAACAACAAGGTAGATTGCTCATTTCCAAGTCCCTAAGTGACTGGTCGAAAAAGCACGACTCGGAGGCAATCAATGGGTGACACAAATTGGTGATAAAGATAAATGGGTGAATGAAGACCAATAAAAAGTGGCGCATATAGTAAATTTGGAGGGGTATTTTAAGGCATGTTATCACATACAAGTGATTTTGACCTTATAAAGGTCAAGGTCAGCAATATGTGAATGTCTATTCATTAATTGATCTAATGAAATGCTTGTTACATTCTTATTTGCATCATTTTGTTTCAAATAGTGCCCTTTGCAGAGCTGCCACCTTGTGGTGAAACTAGTAACTAAGCACTGGTAGCACACACAGAAAATACTCCAAAATCTAGTCATGGAATTCAAGATTTTTCTCTGAAATATAAAATATTGTCTAATGTCTCTTATTCCTTGCTCTGTGACAAGCTTTTTTCCTAAAATACCAATTTTTACATACAAGAACAAAATAGAATATAATTTCACCCACGGTGGTAGATGCTTGCTATTTCCATCCCATAATTTGTGAAATTGAATTTACTGATAATTAAGGTGTTCCCTTAGCTGTTGTAAATGTACGACAAATGACAAAAAAATAAAACCACATAGACTCTAATTGTGTAATGCCTCGTCAAGGGGTTGCGATTTATGAGAGCAGTCGTGATTAAATTAATCAGCCATTAGTACTCGCAGCTAAAAAGCAACCATTCTGACAAGTATCCATCGTTAGAAACTTCGGAAGTCTCACAAGTTCGTAAATTCAATCTAATTTTTTTTCTGTATGGGAAACACTATAATTTAAAGGCATGTCTCTTCTATGTGTTACAGAACTCTCTATGTAAACAATATACAAGGGTCATTCAATAAATATACAAATGCTCTTATGTTTCATGAGGAATTAAGATGAAATTTCCGTGGACTTGAGGCAATCAATATGAATGTTTAAATACTGGCCAAGTATGAAAAATTAGTAAATCTAACGGGTTAATAAATCTTTGTAAATTTTATGTTTTTTCTATATAGGCTACAGATATATGTATTTGAAGCCATGTTTATGTTTATAAAAACCTCTAGGTAAACATTAGTTTTAAGATTCAGTCAACTTTGATGAACATCTATCAGGCATTTTTAAAGGGTTCCGATTAGCATCCCGTATAAAAACAATATGGCGGCTCCAGGCGAATCAACTGGATCAGTCAATTTTTAAGAAATAAGGGTAGTTCTGTAAAATCCAGTTTATTGAAATTGTCTTTGAGATAAAGTAATCCGTTTATAATGATTTTGAAAACGTTATCCAAAGAGTGATTGCGTTCAAAGAATACATGTACAACAGCCAATATAAATCCTTGTATTAGAAACCGGTTTGTCTTGCTTCGTTTCATTTGTAGGATATTTCATATGCCAAGCTGTGTGCTATTACGTTATGGGGAAATTTAGATGCCAATTTTTCCTTATTATACACAAATAGAAGATCCTGAAACTTCACCCATAAATGTGGAATTGATATGTCAAAATAAAAATCACACCCTTTTATAAATGTGTGACGATCTATAATATACTTATGCTATATAACAGTTAGAGGTGTTGACACAACGACCTCGAACCTGTGAACCCTAGAGTATTATTCCGGGATCGGGCCTTTTATACTAAACGGTGAGCAACACCAGAAACGAGCGTTCGATTTGCTAAACGATATGCATCACCCTTTAAAATCATTGCCAGGCCAGCGTCACCCAAAATAAGCAAAACAATACATTGTCTCAACATTTTTTCGAAAAAAGATTAATCAGTCATATTGGTCTTGAAGGCATCATACTATTCCCCACACGGTTATAAAGATGTTGCGTCTTTATAACCAAAATAGATAAACTTCCGGAGTATTTTTTCATTTTCATCGACCACCTTCTTGGTGAAAATGATGAAAATAAAATTTTCCCCCTTGGAAGTTTCCATTGTGTTAGAGAGACATAATGTCTTTAAAACCAGGCGGGGACCATTGGTCATGTTTAATTCAATGAGATGTCACGATGTTATGTCGCATAGTTCACATCCACCTTTTAAAATCATTTTACAAAGTGCAAGGGCACAGTGACATTTAACATATACCCCAGAGTCAGTCATTTCTATTCAGAATATGCAGCATGAATTTTTAATAGAAATTAAGTTTCATGAGTCATAATAATGAGATAGAGACTCCTAAGCAAATATATCATCATTTTGGAAACATTGTCTGAATCTACAATCTTTAAGTTTAAGAGAAAAATCTAAAATCACCAAGGTAACAAGGGCTTGTTGCCATAAAATGGACAATTTTCTATACATGACATAATGTCATCATCTAAAAGAGTAACAATTGTTACTGACATCTAAAGTACAGGTCACAGAAAGGAGTCTATAACAATATGCCCGATAGTTTCCTGATGGTGACAATTTTTACCACTTCTTCAACCTTAAGGTGACATTATGCTTACTACACTGTATTCTTGGTTGACAATATCTCAGAACTTCTTTGTGGTGACAATGTTACCAATTCTTAGTGGTAACAATATGTCACCATTTCCTGATGGTGACAATATGTAACCACTTCCTGATGGTGACAATATCTTATCATTTCTTGCTGGTTACATTAAAACCAAACCAGACACACTACAATCATTAAACAATATAGCATATGAAAAACACGTTAACTTTTTCTTTAATGTAATCTTCATAGCAGAAAATGGATTAACCAGGAGGACAGGTTAATCCCATAATCCTGAAAATACCTCATTTATCAATTTGATGAGTTTATACCTAAATCTAAGGATTTGTTAACTAGTGTCGTAAAGACTGGTTTGGTTGTGAAAAAAAACTTTACTTGTATGGTGCTGTTTTTTTTTTAAATTCAGACCCATAAATCATCTCACTACAATCCTACTCAATTTGCATTGTTTCTTACCCTCAAGAAAGATATATCTGAGTTTTTTCTTAAAAATGCAGAATGGCTAACTATCAAATACATAAAACATTAAGTTGAACAAATTCCTCAAATTGGTTGAGTCAACACATTAAAAGTTGACGATGGGAAATATATGAAATAGTGAACAAAGAAAATATGTGAACTTGCTTACCTTATGTTTTGAGCAATTTTTCTGTAAATTCGCGAAATACATGCACTGGCCATATTCAACAGTGCAGTCATTTCTCAGTGAAGATATAGTACTCCATATTGAACTGAAATGTACATATGTACAGTGTACATTGTAAATAAACATTTGGCTACTGATGAACTTGTCTGTGTGTCCATCTAAATTCCTTTTAATACGATTGTGAAATATTACATTTGTACCTTAAATAAGTCAATAAATATCATTTCAAGAGGTGGAATATAATTTTAATTAAATGGACTTATCCATATATATGTAATAATCTGTTTTTATAAAGCGAACAATAAAATAATATATAGCTACAGAGAACAAGATTACAGCATTTCTGGGCTCACATGAGAAAAATTGGTTTATCCGGCCAGAACAAGGTAAAGTAAGAACTTGGAGCAATGGTATAAACCAGCAAGTTTTTGCCAAAAGGGGGTTGGTTCAGTTATTACAAAATTCTGGGGGGGTGGTTTCAAATTTGACAACTTGACCGAAAATCACTTGAAAAGTGCTCAAAGTGGTGAAAACCTTCCTGGCCTGTATGGACCTAAGAACATTGATATGGGCATATGATCACATGAGTGGCAAATAACTTTTATCCAAAAATCGCGGCTATTCTTCAGGCTCACCATGCAAGCCAAAAAACGCAATAAGCGCAGTGACGATGTGGCATGTTTTGATTGGGGCATCAGTACTTACTTGATATTTGGCGATAATCTACTTGAACAAAATCTCACATCTGGTTCTGATGGTCTCACTTAGAACTATCTCTGCAAATCACTTAGGCGTAATCCCTATAGGCTAATATTGTAATTAAAGGGACACTTCCTTTATCTGAAATTAGAAAATAATATTGATTTGAGACATGTTTATTAACTAAATACGTATAAGTTTCTTTCCAAACTGGAAGCTTACAATACTTATAATCAAATAAAAATGTAGAAAACCTGTACTGCAAAAAATTATTAAAAAGTCAATGTAGAGAAACTATTTGATTAACTCATTAACACCCCCCCCCCTCCACCCCTTCTAGGTACTTAAATCAGGCGCAGGATTAAAGGGTTACGACCTCGGCTTCCAAGTGAACAACCCTTTTAATGTTTACAACCGACCTCATTTCCCTTATTTTTGAACCAATACTAGAAACACTGTTAATTTTCTCTGTTCTACTTATAACTTTCCAATAATAACATAATGATAACTATAATTCGCAAAGAAATAACTTTACCTGAAATTTCACTTTAAGCATGTTCAAGGATCCTTATACTAAGCATTTGTAGTAAGGAGCCCTTACCTTGAATATCATATTACCAATCCAATCCAATCCAATCATTTCATATCAGTATTCAAGAAAAAAGTGAATCGAGTACTGGCAATATTACAGGCCAAATAATCTCAAACCAAAGTGAGGACAATAAAATGAAATTGATCAATACAATAATTCAGAATTTAACATTGAATACAATCATTTGATAATTACAGTAAAACCTGTCTTATTTGAATGCTAATGGAACCTGGGATTTTTGAACAATATAATAGAAAGCAGATCAAAAATTGAACTGAAAAAAGAGTTCACATTAGAAGGTATTCAAATTAGAGAGGAGTTCATACAGGTTTTACTGTTTAATAAGCTAATTTTGAAACATTATCTTTTCTTCATGAATTAAACTAAAAAACATATACAAATGATTAATAGTGTTTTTATACATTTTCAAGGATTCCGAATTATAATCGATTGTCTAAAACCATCATGGTAATATACCAGTACATTCTGGCACTAATTTATTTGATTCCCAAGATGGGAGTTTTATATAACCAGCGTTCCCAGTAGGTTGCAATTAAAGGTAGGGTATAATACACGATTGATTCATAAAGCACAATTGAGTTATACTCAGACTATTGGTGAATTTAGGGACAAGGTCAATGGTAATTGCCAATTTGGCTAACATGTTGAGGGGAGGGGGTCAAATTACAGGTTAGGGATCATAAAGGTCAAAGCTGTAACACTTATTAAAAGTAAAATTGAGAGAAAAAATATTTTTAAATGAAAAAAAATTATATTGAAGCACACGATCAAAATACAGTAAAATCTGTATCAGAACACCTCTCTATATTGAACACCTCTCAATGTGAATCCTTATTTCTATCCTATTTTTCAACCTTCCATTAACACAGGGCTCCTTCAAGGAGGAGTTTCTGGGTCTCTCTTCCATGTTAATTACGTAAGTTACGACCGTATATATACGGGACATACCCAAGAGGTATTGCTCACCTTCATTGGTGGTAAACAAAATACAATAAAATACAATACATAGGTAGAATATAAAATATTAGGATCTGGCTGATTCATATAAGCACGGTAGAGCAGTATCAGTTGTGAACACATTTTCTTGGCCCACCCTGTATATCTTAACAATCTAGAAATGTGAACATTTGTCAATCCGAACACTTTTGCTTAGTTCCATGGGTGTTCAGATGAGACAGGTTTTAATGCAGTTATATTCCACTATTTTTTCTCAGGTGAGTGCAAAATTCTCATTTTCACAATTTAGACCAAAATTAGTCAAAATATGCCAATTTTTCATGATTTTTCTTTCCCATTGCTTTAATGCTGGAAAGATCACCGTAATAGATGTTGTTAATAAAAACAAAACAACTGTATTCACAAAATAGATCAATTTCAATTATGGGTGATTTAATAATGTTTTGAGATGACACAGAAATCTTGAGCTGGTCCCTTAAACATATCTGCACGATATTGTCACCAATCCGGGATGACCAATAGACGTAATTGTCATAAACACTTGAAGAATAATCTATACGAATATTGATCAATAGTTTCTAATTATTAAATGTAGAGCACAACATTGCAAGAATTATCATCATTAGATAATGAGGGGACTTTTTCCCAGTGGGATATCATTATGAAATGATTCAATATAATATCCCAAGTTCAGACTTACAGGGGTTTCATTAGCAGCAGGCAACAGGCAATTTTCACCAGTTGTTTTCACAAAATCGCCTGTTGTTTTTAGGGACTTTTCCATGTTAAATTCATGATTTCCATTAATTTTGCCTGTTGATTAAAAAAAACTGAGTCCAGATGTGTGATATGACAACAATGTTGTCATGACAATAGCAGATTATCACAATACTAATGAGATTGCTGACTTTTTAAAGTTAGTTTCCATGCGTCATACAAAAAATAATCGAAATAAATTAATATTAGATGGAGGGGGGATTGGATGGAGGGGGATCACGTGTATGTAAAACATGATAAGACATGCTACTTGAATTTATTCTTAGGACTCCCAATTTTCCCATTTTTCATTCTTCAGAGATATAATATCCAGTTTCTTACTGGGATACTGAGTTTAGTTTTTTCAAATACACGTGTTCTTGTAAATTTGTTCCATCGTAAAGACATATAAATCCCCCCCCCCTCCATCCACTCCCCCCTCCATCCAATATTAATTTATTTCGATTTTGTATAACGCATGGAAACTAACTTTAATAAGTGAGCAATGTCATTAGGATTGTGATAATAACATCCCTTATACCTATTTATTATAGGTCGTGTAGACCATTGTTGCCTGATTTATAGCAAAAACATTGACTTTTGCACGTTTAATAGATCTCATATCTTTGAAGAGTATCAGTTCAAAACAAATACTAGATGACATAACATATTTTGCCATGCACTGCGCCTATTCATTTGGCAATTCATTTGTAAATTTTCTCTTGAAAAAATAAATCTTCCAAATTTGTTGAGTTTTCTTGCAGAAATCGCCTAATCCCCCCCTCCATCCATTTTGTATGATCACCGGGCGTGCCCATCGACCCCCCTATTCTTGCGCTCATTGCGCTTGTGCTCACTCAAACGCTTCGCTTCACCCACAGTTATCATAAAATGCCTAGTCTACATCCAATAGACTGAATATCCTGATAATTCAGTCTGAATATTTTCATCAAATAATTTCAGACCAAGAGGATATAGTCTAATTACCCTCCCCCCCTCCTCCGCTTTCACAAAATCCTTGATACGCCCCTGGAGGAGTGATTTATCTATATGTCAACCAATGTTTTCACATGAGCTAGCTATAAGGCAAGTAATTCTTTCGAGTTTAGAACAACATTTCTAAGACACCTGTAAGAATTTCAAAAAATTATTTCAAAAGTTCAAAAACACTAAATATCAAATATACTTCGAAATCCTGTATCATATGGCATAAATATCATATTATGAGTGTGCATTATAATGGTTTACACTAGAACTTACCTCATCTAAGGTCGAATTTTGGTTGCAGATTCCATAAATTGACTTTCTCATCAACATTTCTAAAGTTTGAAAAGTTTTCCAATATTGATAAGAGCTACATTCTACACGCGAATCGGTTAAGTTTGCGCATAGAGTTGTGTTAGCTGCCATCTATAAATGAAATAAGGTAATATAACCATCTCAAGCACAGGCATTGGTATTTATTTATCCGGTATTTACACGATAATGGGTAGTTCTCCATATAATATACTGAATACTCTATAGATAACATAGGGGGGGGGCTTCTGTTCACTTATGGGTTTTTATCATAGAGGATGGGGATGCCAAAGGGTCATTCGTCAACCCTGGATTGTGTTTGGTTGGCAGCGTTGGCAGTCACTTACAAGAGCAATCAATGTTTTTATGTTACCACTTGTGCTTTTAAAACTCTAAGAATAGATCTTCCATGTGTTTGGATATTTTCCTGTTACGATGTTGCCCTTTTATTGTATATTATATTTTTTAAGTTGGCTAATGTACTTGTTCTGAAGTTGAGTTGCTTCTCATTTACACATACGTATATTACGTAACATCATGGGCGTAGCGCCTGTTATGCACAATACGCACATGTATGCGAACCAAATGAATTTGGAAAAAGGTTTAAAATGTGCATTAATTTGCACATTTATTGATGATTCTGTATTTGTATATTTAACCATTACGTTTAATCAGAATACAACTATTTAAAGTTGATAAAAACGCTTAGATAGCATCAAATAACTTCTTTGAAAATAAAAGAGTCGCGGCCTTCGGCCACACAATCAGACATACCTAAATGGGCGTACCAACTCAAAATATAGCCCTACGCCCATGAACAAGTACATATTTTTCATTCCAACCATTGTTTGGGTGAATAGGGGAGGGGAATGGGGAGTGGGAGAGTAGGGTGTTGAAATGGGGGAATGAGGGAGGGGAGTGTTGAACAAGAACTAGGTTGAATACAATATTATTGATAAAGGAGGATTTGCTCCCAGAAGTTCTTTGCGATCATCTTTTGACTGGCATAGACCACTTTGGTTTAAGAATGCCGGAACGTTACCCAATCCTCCTTTATTCAGTTATTCAGATGCATGCACATGTATTTTATGAAACAAAAACACATCGCTTATATTTCACTGTTTTATTCTGTTTTCAAAGAATGACAAAGTAGAATTGCAAACAGTATGAGTATATCATGTATACATGATTGTGAAAGTGGTGAAATAGATCATTCTACACAAATATAGATTCCTAATTGCCTTTCTATGATTTAAATATTACATTCAGATTTCTAATCAATTAAATTAAATATCAAAGATGATATTGCAGTGCAAAAATATAAATTGTATTTACATTATATCTAACTAATTAACATCAACTAGATCTCTAGCAAATATTTACAAATGAGTAATAAAAAATAAATAAAGTTATTTTGCTGGCTGCCAACTTTTGGGAAAATCCATGAAGAAAAATCCCCAAAATCTTGAAAAATATGAATTTTTGGAATATTTGTTACATTTTAACTGTAGTTTCTGGATATATTAATTATTTCAAAATGGTGTATTCAAAGTCAGTCTAAATGTTGGCAACCTTACTAACATAGCCTTTTCTTGACATTTCTAGTCACTATAGAACTGTGTGAGCTACCTATCAAACATTTCCTGAGAGTCATGCTTTATAATGTATTAAAGAGTCAATGGCAAAAATGTACTATTGGGGTAATTGTTATATTAAGGATTCTAATGACTGCCCCAATCATTGGCCGATCTGGGGAGGGGGCATAATATGGACCCAGAAAAAAATTGTTGGACCCATAGAGATGTTTGGGCTCAAAATTGTACAGGGCATCAATTAGTACGCATTTTTGGGGCATCACTTGGTCTTTGGGCCCTATTTTTAATTTTTAGGCCAAATTACAAAAAGGGCCTTTAATTTTTACAATATGGTCCCAATTATTGGTTTTATGGGCCCATTAACCGAGGTGCTCCACTTGACAGCTTTACTGTATTGCATGACTTTCATGAAAAGTTTTCATAGGTTTTAAGCCATTAAATGTATAGATTCAACCTCCTTTGCATACATATATTATTCCTTATATACATCATATAATCTCAGCCTGTACACCACCCCCCCCCCCCCCCTCTGCAATCTGAAACCATGGTACCACACAGCGCCATACAGGACCAGGTTCATGGTAGCATATGGTACTGTATGATTTGTGTCTATGGTACCATATGGTACTCACTCAAACCTGACGTGAACTTTAATGTAGTCATTCAAACCTGAAGTGAACTTTATTGCAGTCACTCAAACCTGAAATGAACTTTATTGCAGTCACTCAAACCTAATATGAACTTTATTGTAGTCACTCAAACCTGATGTGAACTTTAATGTAGTCACTCAAACCTGATGTGAACTTTAATGTAGCCACTCAAACCTGGTGTGAAATTTAATGCAGTCACTCAAACCTGATGTGATCTTAAATGTAGTCACTCAAAGCTAATATGAACTTTATTGTAGTCACTCAAACCTAATGTGAACATTAATGGAGTCACTCAAACCTGATTTGAACTTCACTGTTGTCACTAAAACCTGATGTGAACATTAATGTAGTCACTCAAACCTGATGTGAACTTTAATGTAGTCTCTCAAACCTGATGTGTAGTCACTCAAACCTGATTTGAACATTAATGTAGTCACTCAAACCTGATTTGAACATTAATGTAGTCACTCAAACCTGATGTGAACTTTAATGTAGTCTCTCAAACCTGATGTGTAGTCACTCAAACCTGATTTGAACTTTAATGTAGTCACTCAAACCTGATTTGAACATTAATGTAGTCACTCAAACCTGATGTGAACTTTAATGTAGTCTCTCAAACCTGATGTGTAGTCACTCAAACCTGATTTGAACTTTAATGTAGTCACTCAAACCTGATTTGAACATTAATGTAGTCACTCAAACCTGATTTGAACTTTAATGTAGTCACTCAAACCTGATTTGAACATTAATGTAGTCACTCAAACCTGATTTGAACTTTAATGTAGTCACTCAAACCTGATTTGAACTTTAATGTAGTCACTCAAACCTGATTTGAACATTAATGTAGTCACTCAAACCTGATGTGAACTTTAATGTAGTCTCTCAAACCTGATGTGTAGTCACTCAAACCTGATGTGAACTTTAATGTTATCACTCATTTGTGATGCAAACATTATCACTGATCCAAAAGAAATCCTTTAATAAAGATAGTTGAACAGTAAAAATAATCATCCAAGGACAGGTTCAGAGGACAGGACTCATTCATTTCTTTGATATGTTTTCAATCTTACTAACTAACTCGCGTTTACTTTATTGGGAGTCTCTCCTGCGCATACGTTTATAATACTTGTATCGTTGAATCTTCTCTATCATATTGTGACTACGGTGATGTTTTAGACTCCACTGTTTCACGGAAATATCCATGAATACCGTTTTTGATTGAGTCTTCTTTTTTGGGCTAATCGCCTTGACGGTGTATATCCCAGAATCCTTGTTGGTCGCGTTGAAGATTTTCAGCGTGAAATTTATCCATTGGTTGAACCAGTAATGACGGTAGTAGTGAGACACAGCGGACAGTTGGTATCTTGGATTCCTCTCTGGAAAATTATTTTGGAACGTGATAATGGTTTTTGAATGGTGTGCGAGGGAGGGGAATTAAGACATTGTTAAAATCTTTGATTGAGATGTTGATTCGATCCTGTATATGTGGAGACGACAATGACATTAATCATTCTCCTATCTAATAATTAGTGTATTTTTCAACAATATTTGGTCTTCCGCATTTGGTCTAAGTGAGTACAAGGTCGTAATATGCAAAATATCACCACCTGCCATTTGTTACAGATACTAACCATCGATCAATCCTGTTGACAACCTTTGTATACCCATTATATAACACTGAAGAAAATGGGTCAATAAATTCACATTATTTTTTCATGAAGATTTTAAAACATCAGGAAATGTACAAACCAACATGAATCTTTTTGCCATTATGGAACCACTGAAGATCCGCCACGGACCCGAGGACTTCACAGTACAATTCTGAAACAAAAGCTTTCAATTTAATTTATACTCATGTTAAGAGGTAACCACACTTTTAATCAATACATATTAACACTACAGTAAAACCTGTTTATCTGGATACCTCTCTTGTCTGAACACCTCTTAATGTAAACACCTTTTGGTTCCATCTTTTAATATGTCCTGTATTTTCCATCTATAGCCCTATACAACACTAAAGCTTATTCCCGACTCGTGCTTTTGTGTATAAATACTAAAACAAATATTCTATTCTACGGAGATGAAAACATGCCCATCATCCCACATTACATTTTCGATGCATGTTGGACAATGGCCAACAATTGAAAGGAAGAAAAGCTCTGTGTTGAATAGAGACTCACCCACTACTGGAATGGGACTGCCATCATACGGGGGCTGGATTGCGTTACGACAACGCCATATCATCACGTCAGTGTCATATATACTTAGGTAGTTATCAATGTCCTGAAAAGAGATGCAAACTTGTGAAACAACAATGATGACAATCACAATAAGATTAAGACCTACCTAAATACACTGCATTTCTTAAATTACCATTTTGAATCAATTTGCATTTAACAATTTGTGAAGTTTTTTGCAGCTTTACACTTTAAGAAACACTTGATGAAAACATCCTTTAAAAATGGCAATTTTAGAATAGACACATGCTTCCCACAAATGTCATTCCTCCCAGTTTTCATATCTGCAATTAGTGGCAATGCAATTTGATTCTTCAAATTGTCAATATGCATAATCAACTTATCATTGCAAAAAACCTATCATTCGTGACAGTCATGCCATTCTCCTTCTTTTCTCCCTCCCTTCTCACTCTCACTCACTCTTACTCTCGACTCCTTTCTCCACCTCTCTTTCCTCTACCCCTGCCCCCTGACACCCTCTATCTCTCATTGATTTTCACGTGCTCTCCTGTCATTTCCATCTCTCATTTTCTTCCCCTCTCTCTCCCCCTTTATCTCCATTTCTCTCCCTATTTCTCCCTTACTCTTACCCTCTTTCACCATTTCTCTTTCACTCCCTTTATCTATCTGCTTTTTTCGTCCACTCTCTCCTTTTCTATTACCCTCTCAGAAAAAGCCTTTTCTTTCTGACAAAAAAGCCCACTTACTGGATCACTCTTAAACAACTGCCTTCCTCTTTTCTTCAGGTGCTTCTTGTAGATCTGAAACCGACTTGGTTTCTTTGTTTCAATATAGATGGCAGATGTAAATGTCACAAAGACAAGCAAGATTGGAACTAACTCACGTCCAAAATGCATCTTCCACGAATTGTTTTGAGTAACTGGAAATAAATTCAAAATATGCTTATTTAAAGTACACGAGGCTTATACGAGACTCTAGCCATTAAACTAAATAAAGAGATGGCTTGAGAAGGAGGTAACATAAGACATATTTGAAAAATTGTCTTGATGAATATGTTCAATGAATGATGGTCTATTATTAAATGTTGTAGTCGTTTTTTAGTTTTGACACTCAGATTGTGTAGGTGTTTATAAGGGCATGTACCATAAATAATCGAGGCCCAGAATTCCATATTGGATTACCAAAGTATGAATTTATTGAAAATCAAACTGGTAAGCGAGTATGCAGCATCCTATGATACCATGTATCTGAGACCATCATAAAATTATGTTAGTCTCAGCATGTATAAAAGAGAGTTTTAAAAATGATTTTCGTACAATAAGTAAATAAAAATCTACTGAGATTTCTTTTCCATTGAACAGTATTCTGAATTTCCTAGCCACGAATAAATTATGAGCTGTGATTAAAGGGAGTTATTTTGTGAAAGATTTTTCGTAAAATTGTATTTTATTAGAAATACAGAGGGGTACTATATTCAGTTAATGAACAATATTTAACCTGCCACAAAATTGTTATAAATTATCTAAACTCACATGAGTATCGTACACTCATTTTTCTAAGTTGAATATTCCTTTCAACAAAATGGAAATGGCACAATCTAAAAAACACAACTTAATTTGTATTTTATTCGCTAAAGTAATTTTATACAAATTGTAATATTTATGACTTTTTAGAAGAAACTATCAAATTATTAAGTTCAATCATAACTCATTTATACAAATAACTCTAAAACCACTCCTTAGATTTATTTCAATTGTAATAAAACCTCCTTTATGTCAGTTTCAAACTGTTTAATTCAACTTAGGTGCAACTTATCTATAATTCATGCCAGTTTTCAATTGAACTTACCTGAAACAATAATACATACGTTACAATAAGACCCATTTGTCTCTTACAATAAATTACAATATTTAGAACTTAAAAGATAAAGGAAAATGTTAATTTTTAAGATCTATAAATGAAATAGCCCTCTACCTTTAGAATAAAATGTAATATCCTCTACTCCATGCCAGTCTTAAACTGTTTAAATTCTACTTATTTGCAACACTATTGCATGGCTGACAATAGAACCCTTACAAAAAATTCACTTTCCTTTATATTTATCGGAGATCCCATTCATGAAATGAAAGAGATAAACAGAAATATACGCAGGTTTTAATCTTCAAAAGCAGCCATACAACCCTAATAAAAACCCAACTACACTGTACAGAATGAGAAAATGATGCATAAAATAACTAAATCAATTTTGAGAAAGTTGATGTTTATTCAAATCCATGGTTCATTTAAATATCTAATAGTGGAATATTTGTAAAAGGATGCCTATGTTATTTCGACCATATTAGGTAAATCTATACACCCTAAAGAGTAAATATATCTTTACAATTATAAAACTATAAGTATGCTTAATAATTGCTGAATTCACTTGACGAGCCAAAGACCAACCTGTAACGCTTAATACTGTATTTAATTAAGTCGAAACAATATAGACTGATATATCATACTTTTATGTTAATTTCTGAAATGTATGCATTCTAGTATTTATAATATTTTATTTATTCAAGAAGGTTGCTGTATTTACCCTATTCTTTACTGACGAATAAATATGTCTTGCAATGCAATTTGACGACTTCGAATTCAGAGGTGTCAAAATTGCTTAGCAATATCATGCATTACCTGGCTAACATAGTCGAGGTATTTATGTACATATCATATTTTAATAACATTTTAAATTTCATGTCGCCGCTAAATCCAGTACAAATTTTTATCATCTGTATGTCTTAACTTCAAACAACTTGCTTTAATGTTTAAACTACCGGCTTAAAAAAGGTTAAAGTATTATATTCAGTATTTATTCTAAGTCATCACATACTGATTTTTGTCAATATGGTGTCTATAAAACGATTGAAAAAAGTGTGAATATGTTTTGAGTCTGACATGGAGTTGGATCATATTGATATTAGTTTATTAAGAAGTTGAATATCGATATCAAAATCTTCGAAAGTTTTACATATCAGGTTACCCTGAGTGTACCCTTTGCATTCGTTCGACTTCGCTTCTTAAAAGAGAGGTTCGTCTAGTTTATAACTAGACTCTGTGTACAAGGTACCCTGTGATTCAAAGACTCGTAAGGAGAGGATGCTCTCATTAAGAAAGCAAAAGTATACTATTGAAGAGTATAAACCTCTATTTGAGATCACCTTTGACTTATCTTTAGATCTATCTTTAGTACTATATCTAGTAGATCTAAACCTTAAATTTTAAACCTATATTGACCTTTTGTGCCTACATCAACATATAAATTTTCGACAGAGAGAATAAAAAAAAAATATATATATAAAGCTTTTAAAATCAAAAACAAACCTACCACTTGATCTTCAGATGGTTTCTTTACATTTCTTTATCCGTTAAATACTCTGTAAATAAAAGAGAACAAATTAATTTCATATTGAATTAAAATCAAAAACAAGTGAATTATTTAACTTGATTTGAATTAGAATGTACTATAGATAAATCAATGCTTACCGTAATTAAAAATTCAGTTCATATATAATTAACAGAAAAGTTACACAACTAATCATAAATTAATGAATATCTTTCTATGTAAATATCCCATCAACAAATTATCGTAGAAATCCTCATTCGTTTTGTGAATTCCTAATAGAAAAATCAAGATTTGGTAAGAATCTCATTTTTAAGTGTTTCTAAATGATTCTGTGCCCGAGCCTCAACTATTCAACTCAAATTTTCCTTTCTAGTATTTTTACCTGCCTGTGAAGTTTGACTTTTTTGCAAGGGAAATCATCAATAAATGTGTAACACCTGTACATCTTACCTGGTCTTAAGAGACTTATAAGTTCCACTTTGAAACCAATCAACACACAATAAGCAAAAATATCATGAATAATGTACTTAGAGAAGTTGCTACTACCCTTCCAAATAACTTTTGATCAATTTAAAAAAAACTGATGAAACCACAAATTAGTAATATTAATGTGGTTTTATTTATTCCAAAGTTATTATTATTTATAATGTAGCTATCACAGTTTTCAAAAAATCTGCCCCATTGTCTGATTTTCTAAAACTTCGTGCTTCAAGTACATTTTGGGGTTGTTTATTTATATTTTCATTCATGCCTATCAGTGTTGAATTCAAATCATTATTTAAGTTCTTGTCAATTATTTTTTCAATTCTTCAAGTCTTTTGTGTTCAATAAGAAACTCTTTTCGATCAAATATCTTAAAATAAGTAACTGTATGTTTTTAAAAAGTCTCACCGTATGATAAACAATATTTGCAATACACTTGTATATTTTAAATAAATATTACACTGTGAATTCAATATTTGAAATTGGTATCAATTTTCTGAAGTGTCAAATCCTTCGCTTTTGAGTAAAACTATTTTTTGAAATTTGAAGTAATTATAGAGTGTCGCTGTGAATATACTTACATATTTTTAGTTGTAAGTTTTTTTACCTGGCAAAGCAAAAGAACAATTCTTAAAACTTATTTGTAAATCTTGTACTAATATAAGTATCCTTGCTGGTAAATTACAAAATGAATAACAAAAAGTAATTTCACAATACCAATTTTTAAAGAAACGTTTAACGATATCCTTAATTAAAGCCATTCACAGGGTCATGTACCATAAGTGCAATCATTTGTTTGTGTTTTTTATTGCAATTTAATCCATTCGACCCCGGAGATTTAAAAAATGAGATTCCGGTATCATTTGACAAAAATTCCAAAACCATTATCTAAATCACCATGACAACCATATTTTACAATTTCCATGAGAGCGAAAGAGAGGAAAATAGAGAAAAAATTATGACTACAGACATAATGTAAAACACAACATTGTATAGACATGTGCAAGAAAATCAGACACTTCATTCACTGCTCGCAGTAAAGTAGTAAGCCTAAATAAAAGGGTATAAATATTTTACTTGTATTTGACTAAATTACATTTATGTCGGCCACCTGTATAACATAAGGCGGTACATGCATAAAAGATTGTCAGTGTAAATCTAATTAATATACTTTTTACTACTTTATTTTGAAAAATGTGTGGAAGTTTGAAATTAATTTCATCTTGTAAATCCTGTATGCGAACAAAATAGAGTTTAACATGGCAGAAAAATAATTCATTAAATCTTATTTTCGGATGTTTCGTAAAGTACCCAAATACACCATCAATATAAGGATCCTTATGTACCACCATTGAGAGAGCATATGGGGGGGGGGGGTTGTTGCATATGAAATATATTGAAGACAGAGTGAAAATGTTGTACATATAATCCAGGATAGTCAGAAGATTTGACTATTTTAAAATGTGTTTGGGACGGTCAAAAAGTGGCAACTGACAACCCTGTTGCAGACTTTAGCTCTGAACGAACTAAACGCTGTACTTTTTCAAGCATTTTTATTTTAAAATCTCTCATAAGAAGTTTCCTTTACTCTTGCAAGCATTTTCCTTTACTCATTCAAGCATTTCCCTTTCCTTTTTCTACCATTTTCCTTTACTCTTTCGAGCATTTTCCTTTACTATTTCATGCATTTTCCGTTACTCTTTCAAGCATTCTCCTTTACTTTTTCAGGCATTTTCCTTTACTATTTCAAGCATTTTCCTTTACTGTTTCAAGCATTTTCCGTTACTCTTTCAGGCATTCTCCTTTACTTTTTCAAGCATTTTCCTTTACTATTTCAAGCATTTTCCTTTACTCTTTTATGCATTTTCCTTTACTCTTTCAAGCATGCTCCTTTACTCTTTCAAGCATTTTCCTTTACTCTTTCAAGCATGCTCCTTTACTCTTTCAAGCATTTTCCTTTACTCTTTCAAGTATGCTCCTTTACTCTTTTAACATTTTCCTTTACTCTTTCAAGCAGTCATTTGAAGAGCTAAAATCGTCTCAAATCAGAATTAGAATTAAAACTGTAAACTTATCCGTATTAATGAGAGGGTAGTATAAAATACTGAAATGGATCCTGCACAGAGTATAACATCCAGAACAGAATGGTGTATAAAGTTTGAATGGAGATCAAAGATTTTGAACTAGATCAAATGTTGGATGTATTGAAACATTTTCTTCATTTCAGAAATCCAGAATTTCATAATAATATGGTGTCATATTTTGTAATGATATGGTGTCATATTTTGTAATGGTGTCATATTTTGTCACCTCCTCCCCGAGGCATTCACTTTTGACAAGTTCTGTATGCTGTATCATATTTCTGATTTTCAATACCCATAATTTGAGCTATAATATATAAAAGAGGAAAATGAAATGCATGTGTGTGGTCACATCAAATTATCACTTTACAGTACTTTCTTTATCAAACTTTGCACTTATAAATATTCTTTAAAAAAAATCAAATTGAATATGCTGGTTAAAGATGCCCAATTTCAAAATGATGTCATTATCTGATTCAATTTCACATTAAGTTAATTAACAGATAGCAGTTTTAACGATAAGTCAATCATGGAAAAACATAAATATTTGCAGCATTGTTTTCAGATACCAGACATTTTCATCATAAATAAAGTCAAAAAATTCACACTTCAATATACCGCTATAATAAATCCCCAATAAATTATTGCTTTCAATTAAAAGATGTGAAGAAAAATACCAATTACAGATGTATATGACATTAGAAATGACGTGATTTGCTAACATTCAAATTATCTAATACCAAGAAATTGTAATCAGATTTCTAAGAATTTGAATATCAAGCATTTTCTCTTCATCGTATATAATATTTCTATAGAATTTAAAGTGTTGTAAATCATAAGTACATTATTCCACTTTTAGAGATATTTGTGATAATCGTTTATCGTTGCTTTTAAAACAATTACCTGGTTAGGTTTTCCCTTTGATGTAATATCACTAGTTTTTTGGTAATCCTTATCTTTTTCACAATTTGTGGATGCGCCTTTAAACCTTGACTCTCGTTGGAGAAGGCTGTAAAAATAGGATTCGCACGCAAAAAGCTAGACCACCATATAAGAATATTAGGTTTTTACAGGATCATCAAATTTAATTGTTAGTAAAATGTTGTTTTCATAAAAGTGGCAGAAGTTTTGTTCCATTTGGTGTAATTGAAGCATATATTCTTTGAAAACTTTTTTTGAGATGAGTGAAAGTTTTCGCTCTTAAAAGGATAATTTACTTTCGCGACAGTCATTAAAATGGTGAATTTCCATGCAAAATATATCAAGTCAATTACCGGATATTGTCTAAGATTACCACAGAAGTTGAACTATTACCACAGAAGAAAACCACAGTCACATAGTGCAAAGACATAATTTTATAGAAATGTCCGAATATCGTAGCTTTCGATTCGCGATTTAAGAGAAATTGACCAAAATTTCTAAAATGATTGAATTTCTTTGAATGGGTTTTATTTAGAAGGAAAGAAATGTGATCGCAATTTAAACAGAGAACTAATACAAAATCTAATAAATGCAGGAGCTTGGGAAATTTTTATCTTGATCAAAAGATTATTATCACGATCTAATGATGGACATATCTGATCTGTATCCCTATTTTTGTTTGACAAATAAATATTTTGTCAATTCAAACTTATAATTATACTGCTTGGACATGTCTTCAGTCTCAAAAGGTCAAGAATATTTAAGAATTATTCTTAATAAAGGGCTAAGATAGGTCATCCGTAGCCCCTATGATTTGCTCCCTTTTTAGAAACATCTCCTAACATTTAGGTAGCTCCTGTGGGAGTAAGTAGGAACTGTATTGATACTGAAGAAGCTAAACAAACAATAAACAAAAAGTTCTCTTCGTAGAATTTGTAAATAATCCATATTTGAAGTGATGAGTTCTTTTCAAAACAGAATAGGGACATACACAACTATAAACTGTAATATAAAATCATCAAGTTTAAAATAAAAGTCAGAAAACGGTGCGAAAAAGGCATGTTCAGAAATATTGTTGATGCCATTTCACACATGGTAATCTCTTTAGGTGGATTTTTGACAGGAATTGCATTTATCTTACATTAAACTAGGCATAAACTATTTCACCACACAAGCACTTTTTTGTAAAGACCGTCCCAACAAATGTCACCCAAACACATATATTTTATATTTTTCTCTTAAATTTGAAAGAAGAAATCAAACATTCTAGAATCTTTGTGAAATGATTTCTTTTAACAATTAATTGTAACTTGTAAAATTTCTCAAAATTTTCTCTCATTTTTCTGTATTTCTCAAAAAATAAATGACTCAGACGATTTTTTGTAGTGATAGATTTAGAGAAGTTTACCTGGGCTTATATATGGCATCGCAAATCAGAAAGTTTATGATCTATATCAGCAGTTTTATTTCAGATATCAGGACTGATATAAATTCAAGCAATAAATGTGATTCCTCAACCATGTGTGGGAATTCAAACTTGATATTAACTGTTAGCTGCGGGAAAAATATGTTTTTGCAAATTCAAATTGATTCCATCCTGACTTAATTTCCACAACATTTTGACTGAATTTACCCTTTAATTACCAGCTCGAAACACTATCCTCTAACTATGATAGAAATTATTGCATTAAACCAATCAGTTGCTACACTGCCGGCCATGCTAGTATAACTACATGTTGTTTATTGGAATTATTGTGATTGTCAATGGAAGCTTTGATTGGCTTGATTAAATCAAAGATTTATAGGAAATATTAAGAGTGTCGGACAAAATTGTGATTGTCAATGGAAGCTTTGATTGGCTTGATTAAATCAGAGATTTATTGGAAATATTAAGAGTGTTGGACAAAATTGTGATTGTCAATGGAAGCTTTAATTGGCTTGATTAAATCAGAGATTAATAGGAAATATTAAGAGTGTCGGACAAAATTGTAATTGACAATGGAAGCTTTGATTGGCTTGATTAAATCAGAGATTTATAGGAAATATTAAGAGTGTCGGACACAATTGTGATTGCCAATGGAAGCTTTGATTGGCTTGATTAAATCAGGGATTTATAGGAAATATTAAGAGTGTCGGACAAAATTGTGATTGTCAATGGAAGCTTTGATTGGCTTGATTAAATCAGAGATTAATAGGAAATATTAAGAGTGTGGGACAAAATTGTGATTGTCAATGGAAGCTTTGATTGGCTTGATTAAATCAGAGATTAATAGGAAATATTAAGAGTGTCGGACAAAATTGTGATTGTCAATGGAAGCTTTGATTGGCTTGATTAAATCAGAGATTTATGGGACATATTAAGAGTGTGGGAAAAAATTGTGATTGTCCGGGATGGAAGCTTTGATTGGCTTGATTAAATAAGAGATTTATAGGAAATACTAAGAGTGTCGGACAAAATTGTGATTGTCAATGGAAACTTTGATTGGCTTGATTAAATCAGAGATTTATAGGAAATATTAAGAGTGTCGGACAAAATTGTGATTGTCAATGGAAACTTTGATTGGCTTGATTAAATCAGAGATTTATAGGAAATACTAAGAGTGTCGGACAAAATTGTGATTGTCAATGGAAACTTTGATTGGCTTGATTAAATCAGAGATTTATAGGAAATATTAAGAGTGTCGGACAAATTGTGATTGTCAATGGAAACTTTTGGCTTGATTAAATCAGGGATTTATAGGAAATATTAAGAGTGTCGGACAAAATTGTGATTGTCAATGGAAGCTTTGATTGGTTTGATTAAATCAGAGATTTATAGGAAATATTAAGAGTGTCGGACAAAATTGTGATTGTCAATGGAAGCTTTGATTGGCTTGATTAAATCAGAGATTTATAGGAAATATTAAGAGTGTCGGACAAAATTGTGATTGTCAATGGAAGCTTTGATTGGCTTGATTAAATCAGAGATTTATTGGAAATATTAAGAGTGTTGGACAAAATTGTGATTGTCAATGGAAGCTTTGATTGGCTTGATTAAATCAGAGATTTATAGGAAATATTAAGAGTGTCGGACAAAATTGTGATTGTTAATGGAAGCTTTGATTGGCTTGATTAAATCAGAGATTTATAGGAAATTTTAAGAGTGTGGGACAAAATTGTGAAACACTCTTAAAAAGACTTATTTCGATTATATAACACCCAATGATCAATATGGTAAAACATGATGTTTCATCTTGATACACCCACCATAAAATTATTCTACTCTCCCCTCCATAAGTTTGGCACACAGAAGTCCATTTGGATCATTTATAAAGGCCTCACAGGGCCTGTACAAATTCCTGAAAAGACCACGTGCAGTATAGCAAGTGATTTTAGACGGTCATATCTTTCACCATGAGTACTTTCTGGGCATAAATACAGTGCTTTTTTGTTAAAACAATATGTTTTCTTTCAAGTGAAGTACCCATGATGATAAAAATATCAATCGAACAATTCGAGAAATTATGAATAGGGACCCCATGTCAACATTTTTTTCAAAATATTGAACCTATTTACTCAAAAGAGGATCTCCCTTTCCTAATTTTTATTGCATGAAAAGATTATTCAACAAGGGGTTTAAAACATCTTCAAAAATATAATTGTATTGAAAGTCTAGTTTTGAAGATATCAATTTTCGATGACCAAAATGATGCTGAAAACAATGGATAGCACGAGTTTTCCCCATGGGACAATAACATGGGATATGTGGTTTTTAGGGGCCCAACGTTTTTTCCCAGACCTGAAGTTTGCCCCCCCCCCCTTTGTTGGTTTCCAGATCCCCCCTGATGCTATCCAATAAAAACTTCCTGTCGACAAACGTATGAAGGGCAGTGTACCGAATATGACTTAGAAGGGCCTTGAAAATAGTTCTGCTTATCTCGTTTGAAAAAAGAGATTAAAATACAATATTCAAGGACAATATATAAGCATCCTCGAACTTCCTACAAAGTTTATCATTTGTTAAACAGTTCAAATCTAATTTTTCAAATTGAACATGAGAAAACATAAATAATATTTTCAGATGTGACAAGCAGCCTCCTTATTTGAAATTTTACTTCATGTAGTTGTATACAAAATTATTCAGATTAATATTTTTGGTAACGTTCTATATGTAAACACTGCAAAACCAGGAACCAGATCCAGTATAACTTTATCTCATTTGTTTTGGGAAAATAATGTTATTAAATGTTTTTTTAAGTTCATTAAAGACTTAAATATAGGAAATTTATATCAAAAATATTTTATATGAATAATTATTTCTAAAACAAATGTACGTTTACATCATACAACCTCGCATAGATCCCTGCACCCACTCCTTGTAGAATTTTCATTGTATGATATTAAATGTTATAATATATGAACTTGAAATAAAAATGAAAATAAAATAAAAAAAACCTCCCCCAATCTACGTTACATCCAGATAATTACAAGGGATTGAAATAGGACTTATATACATGTACAGTGTTTTACAGTCAAACATACCTTCCTGCTTGCTGTGTGTGAATTCCGTTTGATGTGATGATTGATGGACGAGGACTGGTGCTGAAATCAATTGTTAAGTTACATCAACTGTTTTAAAATCAACTGTTTTACATCCTCATCTCGTTCCTCATCCCAGGTCAGTAACTGTAGGTAATTGTAGGTTGATTGTTGATTGTAGGTTATTGTAGGTTGATAGTAGTTAAATGTAGGTTGATTGAAGGTAATTGTAGGTTGATTGTTCGTTTCAACGATCATTCAAGGCAAGGTTGGGTTTAATCCCAAATCAATGGATTTCAATTTGTGTAGCACTACAATCTGTATTGTGTAGTACTCAAATCTGTGTTGTATAGTACTCAAATCTGTATTGTGCAGTACTCAAATCTGTATTGTATGGTACCCCAATCTTTCACCAGTGTTATTTTCTGTGATTCACTACAATTTGGAGCTTTGGTACTAGTCAGTTCATACCCTTTGGCTTTTGATACTTTTTCTTCCTATCCCTCCCTGTTTACAAGTTCCTCTGAGAACAAATCTGAACAGGGTAGCAGCTAGAGTTCTACTTCATTCCAAACTCCGAGAAAATACAGTTGAGATGGAAATCTAGATTTTGAGAGTCCGATTTCCAATAATTCCAATAATTCACAGTCACTTATCTGTCCAATTATGAATTATTAAAGTAATTATCACTTCTAAGAATGTTACGTTTCATTGAATAATATCTCTCGCTTCTCTTCACATAATTAATTGCTACTCATGTATTAGAGTTATACCTTAAAGTTATACAATAACATACTCTCCTTCCTTCCTTTACTGATGTCATTTGTCAATTATTCATCTCCATATTCATCAACTACCTTAGCGTAGTTGTCGGCTCTTTGAAATTCATCACTCAAAATGAGCTATATAGCTCGATTATTAAAAAACACCGGTGTAATTTCTTCAAGTAAAAGTCCTCTTTTCAAAATCATTTCTGGTTTATAGTAACATAAATCACTATTCGGTTTCATTATTTAATGTCACTTTTTAAATGTCATAAAACTTTTGAGAATTGTTAACCTGTTTATGTCCGTACATCAACAAGTGGGATGATTTCTTTATAACTTCAGATCATTCCTCATTGGGTCATGTGTTTTCCTTGCAAAATAAAGTTCAAAGCGAAAAAACAAGAACGATTTTAACCTGATACGGACTTCTAACTCCCACTTGTATAAAATGCAAGTATATAAAGTGGATTATTCAATTTTATTGAAAATTAGAGAAATCCCTCATAATGAGAGTGAAGTGTTTTGAAAAGGTAAACATTCTATCATCAATTCTCTCAGTACACACGTTGGATAAACCCGACACAATACATTGACTGACAGTTGAGTCCATAGCTTCGATGCACTGATTGTATCTTCGATGCACTGATTGTATCTTCGATACATTGATTGTACAGGTATGTTATGTCTTTCCCTTCGATGCACTGATTGTATGTTGTGTCTTTCACACCAAATAGGATATTAGGACTATGAGGTCAGCAGGTCAGTGTTGAGTATGGTGCGAAAAGGTCATCGTGGTACGCCACGCCCTCTCCATCTCTATCCTTCTGCGATGCAACAGAGAGATGCTATGAGTATCAGAATGCGAAAAGGTGGGTGTGACAGAAACTTTCTACTCTGGTTTCCAAAACTTTTTGAAAGATTGCATCGGCTATAGCCAACGTGTAGCAAGTAAATACAAACCTATTTATCAAGCCACTGTCACCGATTCAAACTTCAGCAAAAAGTTACAATGTCAAATTATGAATAAAGATCTGAAGTAGTTTTTCAAAAATATTTTCATTATTATTCGCTTGTGCACAAAATGTGGAGCTAAGAGTAAGCTTCATTTAACAGGGGATTCAGCTTATTCAATATCCTCCTCGAAAAATATCATATTCAATGTATCTCTCATTTGTTTTCTACATCTTTTATCTTTTCTTTAAAAAGAGCTCATTAATTAAAGAAATGACACTCGCGAACCACCCGGTGACATTCTTTTAGAGGAAATAATTTTCAATAAATGTTGTAATTTTATGATGTTTTTCTACAGTTTACGCCTAAATAGTGTTCAATGTATCATATGATATGCATTTATCAATATTTTTGCTATAACTTCTAAAATGACATGAGATTTTTATTGATTACTCTAATGGAGTTTCAGTTAAAAAAATCTTTTTCAAACTATTTCTAAAAGGTATTTTAAAAATTTTATTCAGCGTCGTTGAGTGTTCATTACTGTAGCACAATGGTGACATCTTTTAATTAAAAACAAAACAATTTCAAAATTCTGTCATTAAGAACTTTAAACCTTAAAAAGTTTTAATCAAATAAATAAACTTTTTTCATCTGATTTGTCAAGGCTTATATCATATCAGCCAATTTGGTGAGTATTGAATACCAGATACATATAGTACAAAGATTCTTTCTATATAGTCTGTGGTATATACATGTCTTGCCCGTAGCCAGCTTTTACCAGGGGGGGGGGAGCTTTTTCACAATTTTGGCTAAAAATCATGTGAAAAATTCTCAGAATGGTGAAAAACTGCATGATTTTGAAAGAATTTCTGGCCAGGGGGTGGGAGCTTTCGCTCCCCCAGCTCCCCCTCTGGCTACGGGCCTGCATGTATCATAGATTGTAGAGCCAATATGTTTTCATTTTTTAAAGAAATGTAAATAGTTACATTTAAAGCGTTGATATCAAAGGTACGTGTATGTCCTATTAGTAAGGTCAAATGTAGGCATAGAACACCTCAGTTTATTTCCTTTGAAGGTTATCCCGACACTACTTACACCTCTAAATAAACTACAGTACATGTAGCATTACAAACATCATGGCGGAGACTCCTGTAGTTGACTTTAGTGATTATAGCTTCCATGTAGATGCTGAGCACAACCCAACTGATGAACAACTACAAGAGCTTGCAGAGGATGTTTATAAGGCACTGACTGGGGTGGGCTTTATGTATATCAAGAATCATGGCATACCAGCTGATTTGGTAAGACTGTTAACTACATGTACATGTGCAGTTCAAACCATTCACTGCCTAATTAATATAACAAGAGCTTGCAGAGGATGCGTATAAGGCACTGACTGGAGTGGGCTTTATGTATATCAAGAATCATGGCATACCAGCTGATTTGGTAAGAAATGTTAAGTACTACATGTACATGTGCAGTTATATCAAACCATTCACTGCCTAATTAATATAACAAGAGCTTGCAGAGGATGCGTATAAGGCACTGACTGGAGTGGGCTTTATGTATATCAAGAATCATGGCATACCAGCTGATTTGGTAAGAAATGTTAAGTACTACATGTACACGTGCAGTTATATCAAACCATTCACTGCCTAATTAATATAACAAGAGCTTGCAGAGGATGTGTATAAGGCACTCACTGGGGTGGGATTTATGTACATCAAGAATCATGGTATACCAGCTGATTTTAGAAATACAGTGTACAGTGTATATGCAGATACGATATGTGAAATCATTGCACTCATGATATGATATATGATATGAATAGTTAATGACGGTACAGTTTCCCGCTAAGAAATATTTTGAACTGAATTCCAGTTGAAAAGAATGGAGAGTATTGGAAGAGAGTTTTTCAGCTTACCAAGAGAAGAGAAGGAAAAATGTGGCTTCACAAAAGATGGGAAATTTGGCTACTCTGGGGTTGCAACTGAAACGTATGTATAATGTAGTCTTTGAACTTCAAAGCTCACGTTATTTCTGGATAAATAAAACCTGCATGATAGAACACTTCTTAGTGTAAGGAACACCTCTTTATATTTCAATTTAGGTCAATTGACTTCCATGTTCATTAACCCTCTCCGTAAAGGAACACCTGTCTACAAGGAACACATTTAGTAACTGGGGATGTTCCATAGATGATAGACACATGTTTAACTGTACCGACTGGCGGATACAGGACGGGTTAGGGGGCATGGAGCCCGCCATCCCCTCTAATGTGGGCCCCAAATATTTTGCAGGGCCTCAAAATATGGGCATAACTTGGCCTTTTGGACCTTTTTAGGCCAAATTGTCTCAAATGGGCCTCAGTTTTGAGTTTTAGGGGCCCAACATTTTTTCCACTGACTTGAAATGTGCCCACCCCCCCCCCCCCCCCCTTGTCAACTTCTGGATCCGCCAGTGCTTAATCTAGGGAAATCATAAATATCTAAATTGTTTTCTACATTGCTAAAAACATTGCCTAGAATAGTGAATATTCAGTGAGAGACAAACAACTTTAAAGAAGAAGGGGGGGGGGTATGAACCATTTTTTTTCACGGTGGTTTTAATTTTGGTTTGGGATAGTTGGAGTTTGTCTTGTGACTGGTGCGAACTTCAGTCCTGTTGCCATCCAAGGGGGTCCTTTTTCAAAAAAAATCCAAGGGGTTTCACATTTGACAATTTTGGCACAAAACCACTGGAAAATGCTCAGAACTGCAGAATGGTGTAAAACTTTTGAACGTTCAATAACCCCTCTCATGGCTACGGGCCTGCACTTTTCCTTGCTGGGTTGCGTCAATTCTTGATCTCTTAGCTGCGTATTTACTGCATTGAACTGAATGTTTTAGACATGGTGGATCAGCTGATGTTAAAGAAGTGTTCGATTATGAATATTGGCTACCTTCAGTGAGTAGAACTTCAATATTTTGAGTAGAACTTCAATATTTTGAGTAGAACTTCAATATTTTAAGTTCATAGTACTAGTTTCACATAACTTAACCATGGTGGTTCATGAGAAATTATTTCAACCTTCAAAGTACGACTTTTAACATGTTTAGAGTTATTGAAGTCTTCAGCATTTCCATCGCTGACATTGAATTCTTGGTAATATTGAATATAATATACTTTTATGTTTTAAACAGAGATGGCCAAAAAGTGTAAAATACTTTGAAGAAACCTATACAGAAATGTTCAGAGAATTCACCACATTGTTTATGAGAGTACTCGAAGTGATGGCATTATCATTAAACTTGGTAAGCACGATTCGATGTAATATTAACACACATGGTATGTCTCACTTAAGAATTCACTATGACTGTAATAAGATGTGTTCAAGGGCAGAGCCAGAATAAAAAAATGGCGAGGCAAATGTAAAAAGCCGAGGCCAGATGAGGCTAATGCCTTGGTCATATTTGCTCCGATTTTCACTACGGCGCCCGGCCGATTGAGTATTTTGTTCAAAATTGTATACAATTAATATTGAACAGAACACTCAATCTGACGGGCGCGCCGGCCGATGGATCGGAGCAAATGTGACCAAGGCATTAAGGAGGTATATTACACATTTTAACTCCATTTTCACATTTTTCAGTGAAGAAACATCTGAATAAATATATTTCTATGAAAAGTTGGTTTGGAATGTCTAACATTTATTTTTGATGATCATATTTACAAGGAAAGAACTTTCTTCACAAAGCTTCATAACACTTTCACCAAGAAAACAAGGACCCTGCTGAGAATACTTAACTATCCAAAAATGCCAGAAGATTTTAAAAAGTCTGAGAGTCAAATGCGTCTAGGGGGACATACAGATTGGGGCACTGTCTCCTTCATAGCACAAGACAATGTGGGCGGCTTGCAGGTAAGACTGCAGTATTGATAACATAGAATAGAAGCCAATATCTGTTTTACTAAACACGCGCTTTGAATTACCATACCCCATCCTTACGCCGAACAACCGGAATTGCACAACGTACTAGTAATTTGTATTTATTTTTGCGCTAAGTTTGTAAGTACTCATATATCTCGGTGTTTGGTCAGAATAAGAGCCTTTCTTTCTCAAAAACATCGACTCTTGTTACGCATAGGTGCTTCTTCATCGACATTTTGAGTATCTGTCATCGTGAAATGGTGAATAATTTATTAAAATAATCATTGAACACCAACCAAACTCCTGATTCCCACGTACTCGTGCCTCATATTTAAAAGAAAAATGCACGAAGTTAGAGTGTACGAAATGCAGCAGTGTCGCTAATATGTTCTTACCCTGCACTTCATACACGTACACGCCGTTCAGTTTCGAAAGGGTAATCCTTCCATTCCACTTCGTAACTGAAGTTTCAAGTGCGCAGGTGTACTCAATAGAGATGTGCGGTCTTTAGAAAGAATATGGTAGTGAAGAATTCGCCATCATTTAAAAATTGAAACCCAGCATTGATTGCTTCCAGATATAGCAGTTCTAATAAATGATACTGTTACATTGTTTCTTTAGATAAAGTCGCTGTCTGGAGACTGGATTGATGCCACGCCTAAAGATGGTTGTCTTTTAGTTCTGATTGGGGATCTTATGCAGAGATGGACATCAGACACGTTCCAGGCTAATGTAAGACATTGCCCTGTTATACAGCAGGGTTGATACCCCAGTCACATATGTTATACGGCAGGAGTACGTCGGCCGTAGCTTCACAAAATAGATATAGAAAGTTCACATTAGAACGTCCATGTTTATCTCAATTTTGGGAAGCTACGGCCACCGTATGATTGCCCGTAGATCAAATGTGAGTGATGCATAATATGCAGCATTAAATATAGGGATGAGTAGTATGATGTACCACTTGGGCACTTGCATTTAATAATGGTAGGTTTTTTATATCGATTTTGCGAATCTACGGACGCTGTGCGGCCGCCGTAGAGCCGTAAATGAAGATTTGTCTATCTTTTAAGCCATTCTATTAATAACAAAATGCGCTGTTCTGTTTTAGCCACACAGGTCGATGAAGTTACCTTGTGAACCAGTCGACATGAGAGGGGGAGAAAAGTCTAGATTCAGTATGGTCTACTTCGGAAATTCTGACAGTGATGCGATGATTGGAAGTATTGGTGACTCAAAATATGAACCCATAAATGCAGGAGAATACTATGAGAAACTCCTGACTGAAGCATTTGGTTATTAAGAACGATAATATGGAGGAAATACGATATTAAAACACCTTCAAGACCCTCGCTGCTTTGGCCAAGGGGGGATTCAGTTTAAGGTTCAGCTGGAAAGTAACATTTTGGTAAAAAATTGCTATACCTGCACATGTTATTTTCTGGTACAAAATTAAGTATGAAGGCATGTGTGTATTTCCTTGCTTTTTTCAGGAAAGTACCATTACACTGTCTACTTTTAGTAAATCTTGAAATAGGTCAATGGTAGCTCCTGTGTTGTCTGGAAACTTTGAAAGAAAATTTGGAAAAATAGAAAGTGTGAAATATCAGAATTTCCTGGAGTGCCCATTGAATTCCTACCAGATATTCTAAAAGAAGACAATGCAATGATACTTTCCTGAAAAACAGCGAGGAAATTGACACATGCCTTCATACTTTATTTTGTATCGGAAAATAACATGTGCAGGTATAGCAATTTTTTTACCAAAATGTTATTTTCCAGCTGTACCTTAAAAAATCAAATTAATAATTTAAGGCCAAACCACTTGAGAGGTGCTCAAAATGAAATGAAATTGTTGAAACATAAATGTTGCCAAACAAAGAGTTTATATTTGATTGTAAAGAGACGTTATGGACACCCTATTATACTAGGCTATTACATACGATACTATCCCTGTTTAACAATATATAAGATTTATTCTTTAATGGGGATTTTTAATTGACAGTATGAATAAAACCAATGGTGATCAAATTATCACAGTTTACACCTCCCTTCATTATGTTTTAGCAGCTTAATAGCACTTACAAGATTCAATGGTAACCCCGGTGTAAATGGGTAGGAGGTCCTATCAAATTATGGTCCTACTTTCCATTTATATGGTGACCTAAATACAACTCTTTCCCTTATTATCTTATACACAATCAGGGCCAGTAAGGGCCTTTAAGAAGGGGGACCATAATGGTATGGTAACAGGCATCCAACATTCTGATAAGTGATACTCATCACATCGTTCTGCCTTCAACAATAAATATGCTCTGATTTAGTTGCTTACCATTTGCGATCTAGAATCATCAGATGGGAGGGGTATAAAATTATAATGCCTTGCTCACATTTGCTCCAATTTTCACTACGGCGCCCTGCCGATTGAGAATTGTTCAAAATTGAATACAATGTTGAGCCTGGCGCCGGTCGCTGGGTCAGAACAAATGTGACCCAGGCATAAGTGTGATGTTTAATGTTTATCATGTATGTATTGCCCTTACTTGTTGAACATTATACAAATATTTAATTCTGTTGAGGTGAATACCTGTGCATCTTTCACAAGTGATATTCCACGAAGCCCGAAGGGCTAGTGGAATATTATCTTCTGAAAGTGTCACAGGTATTCACCGAAAATAGAATTAAATATTTGTTTTATTATATCACTGTCATAACATCTTCTATAATTAAATAAGTCATATGTTAACACTTAAATACATTTATATTTCTTCTAACAATATAACAATAAATATCAACTACCAAATTGTAGTATTTTAATTTAGGGTTTCATGTTAACATTATAATTAATTGTAACATTGCAATTTGTCCATGTCTTAAACTCTGAAATGTTGAGGACTTATAGTGTTCTCCCTCAATTTGATCGTTGTATTGGTTATTATGGGATATATAAAATGAAAATTTCACTGGACTAAGTCAACCTCGGGAATGTATAAGTCGTGACCGTTGAATATCATTTGATATTCACCGGAAGTCACGTGACTTACGTTGAATATCGCTAGTTATTTTTTAGTCACGTGTAGGAAATGGACCAATAAGAGAGTGAGGAATATGACAGTGATATAATAATACATAATATTGAACTGCCAGTCATTAGTTGTTAAACTCTATCTCAAGCTAGTTGTATCAACTCATTTAGTTTCATGACCCCATGCCATATTAGGCTTTGATAAAGATGACCATCAAGATTTCCAAATTCTTTAAAACAATCTTATTGGTCAGGTTGACCTCTGTAATTGATTTGATTGGTCAACACTTTCAAAAAACTGTACAGGGCTAGATTGAAAGGAAGCTATAACTATCTCATGGTCTTCTAGAGAAGCTAATAGAAGGCCATGATTTCTATCTTATGATGGGCGTCCAAGGCCTGTTAAAATTGAAATAACTAATATACTGTACGTATTATCATTTACTCTAAATACCTTATCTCAATCCATAATTTGACTAAGGTGGCAGGTCATGGACCTTATAATTAAATCTGTACAAAAATAATCAAAAATTGACAATTTATGGCTATCTCAATTTAGTGAAATCAGATTACAAGTAACATAAATTAAGTTATAAGTTCAGTTGTAAGTTCCTTCAAATTCATCAAATATTCCTTTAAATTCATCAAATATTCATTTAAATTCATCAAATATTCATTTAAATTCATCAAATATTCATTTTAATTCATCAAATATTCATTTAAATTCATCAAATATTAGTTCAAATGCACTGAATTGTTTTGAGAAATGAGTGATGATTGAATACTAGGGAAAGCCCAATCAGGCATTGGATCGACTGAGAGTGATAAAGGTGGGGGGGGGGCAATTCTCAGAATAGCATATTAACAATGGATTTCCAGAAAACACAAGGGCAACATACATAAAACAAAAATACATTGTTTACAATATTCACATTTATTTTCTTATTTTTGTATATGGAAGCAACCCAAGAAAGAATACTGATAAATTAGGCACCCTAAGAATAGTAACAAATATATTCATTTTCTATAAGAAATTATCATTTTCACAACACTGGACATCAAAATGAAATAAATAGTTATGGCATCAAAAGAATATGAATATAATTTTTCTACTAATATGGCCTTGAATGTAGTCTAGGAAGAAAATATTTGTTGTTTGTTTAAATCACATATTGACAAAGTGCACAATTAACAAAAAAGTAAACAACATTATATTATAAACTGTACAATATGTTTACAGTCCTTCATCATCACATTAATTTATATCAAGATTTTAAAACATAATTAGGCATCAGCTACTTCAAAGCACAAAAAGACTTATAGGATATCCTATGATTTTGAGGAATATCATTTTCAAGAGGTGATATTGATATTTGCACGAGAGAGCAAAGTGAACGAGTGCATACAGGGTGATCAATAAATAAGGTAAAAGTATCTGGCATTTCTTCAGATTTTATCCAATCCTCATAAAATTTGCACAGAATAATGTTCAAACATTATTGAATTGATATATTAAGTTACAGATCAAAGTGATGTGATTGGTTGAAGTTATAGTTGCCATAGCAACAGAAAGCATGAAGACCCGGGGCAATTATCAAAAAACTAAATTTTCAGTCGAAACACTTTTGATAATATATTTCAAATCACAATTAAAATGGCATATCATATTCTTATTTCATACTTCACAACTGCTACTTAATGTCCTTTGTTTTTAACATATAGTTCATGTCTTCTACTCCAGTCTTTGAACACCTTTTAAACCCATTTTCCCATAGCCTGCAAATTTTCAAGACAGCTGGCTTCAAGTCATCCCATGAGAAACTCTCTCAACTCCCTCTTCAGCTTACCATGACCGTAAAATCATAAGGGGACAAGTCAGGAGAGTATAGTACATGACCTAACAGTGGGAAACCCAGTGCTTCAATAGTTTGTACCATGAGAATAGCATTGTGAGACGGAGCATTATCCTAGTGTAATGTGAAATGTTTTGCAGGCCTCTTAGTCTAAGCTTCTTCCTCTTTTCTCTCGTCAAATCTCTTCTGTGCATATTGTTTTTCATCATTGACCTGTGCCATAGACTTTCTATGATCACATCAGTTTTCATTATATATTAATTTTTTCCGTGACATCAAACATCAAATTTGCAAGAAAATATGTAACAATGTAAACAAAGTATTCAAACAAAAACAATGCTGGCACCGACGTCTATTTCTTTTCAGTTTGACAGAGATGTGCTTTTTATCATTTTTTGTTCAAATTGGACGCAATGAAATTGCCCCGGGTACCCCGACTCCAGTTGCCATAGTAACTATAATATTAAGCAATCAGATGGCAGAAGTTATATATTTATATGTTTTAATTTAGAAATGTACAAGGTATATTCTGACCAAATTTCAGGAAGTTTGGACCAATATTTACAAAATGCCAGATACCTTTACCTTATTTATTGATCACCCTGTATATCAATATCACCGAATAGATTAAAATGATATTCTGAAAAAAATCATAGGATGTTCTTATTATCCTACACTTACAAGGAGTGTACTAAATGTAGAATATCATTGCAAAATGAATTTCATGCCAAATAGAGTCAATTTGGCGGGAAATCAACAAACGGAGTACATCGTTACAATATCCTCCGCATATTGGGTTTTCCGGAGTATATCGTCACGATATCCTCCGCCCGGAGTATATCATCACGATATCCTCCAGTTATTCATTTTGCCAATAAATATCAAATTTATTTTTTAATGTTATTATACATTTAGTATACTAAGTGTAGGATAAAATGTTATATCCAAATTTTAATCAAACATTTACTAAAATGAATCATTTCTCCTAGTTTCGATATTGTTCACGTTTGTTGATTTTGGTATAAAATCTACTAGATCTACGTCATGATTGCATCATTTGATCGCATTATTTATAAAGTTTATGTTTCTTTGTGAATCAGTATACTTATGGTATATACACCAATGAGCCATGACTTGTGCATTGTTTGAACCTGGAAAAAAAAGATTCTCCATTTAGATATTGCTTAATTTTTCTATGGTATTTGTAACATATCATACGTTCGGATCGTCGGATCATTTGATTATGGGAGGGGATTGTAATATGGTTCTGGATTCAAATGTTGACAGATATTCTAACGGTATCACTAAGCATAAAGCTTCAGAATCAGCCGAAGTAGTAGCGCATATGCTTTCATCCTTAAATATGATTGACGTTTGGAGGATGTTAAATCCTGCAACCGTTCAATACACATATGAATCATGCGCAAA